CACCACCGTGCAGCTCACAGAGCGATGTTCAGTTCACATCTGAGCTACAATGAAATGGTTTTGATGAAATAATATTCTGATAAGACTTTAAAGTCCTGCATTAAACTGCTGTTCTCAGATGCTCCTCATCCAATCGGACTGAGCTGAAGCAGAAGGAGAAAATAATTTTGTCTCCAGATGAGCAAAGCTGGAGGAGACGACCCTCCTGAGACCACCAACAACTACAAATAGTCTGATTACATACGTTGAATAGCTGTTGGCTGAACAAAAGGACCGAACCGTTTGGATTTTCACACACTTGTTTAGGTAAAACTGAGAAATTAGGAATAAAAAATAAATAATTGAGAGCTAAAGCATTTARATCGTATCTCACCAAATTTTAGGTGGTGAATCAGTAATAAGGTGGAAGGATTCCTCTGGGTCAGAGTCCGCCTCAGGTGAAGGATCTGGGAGTCTTCTTCACTGATGAAACGAGAGATGAAAAACTAATTTTATTTTGTTAAAAGAGCTGCTCTGGTTTGCTGTGGCAAAGGACAAGCTGCTGAGGCAAAGCRTTCAGTTTATTGTTCATGGATGTTTCTTGAAGCAAGTGCCCGGTCATTTGTTTCAGGGTCAGATCTGTGTCTTTAGTTCAGGTAGGAGAGCAGTTATCCTTCATAAGAACATTACTGCCTCAAACTCAAACTTTCTCACTTTGCATGGCAAAGTATCATTGGGTGAGATGCTAAACTAAACTGTTCCTCAGTGTACTTTTTATTTTGAGGTCTTTTAAGTTAGAAGAGTCTGCAAAATATAAAACACAAACTTTTTCTTCATAAAATCTTATTACTCCGAAACATAAAGACAACGTGAGGGTTTTAAAAGGAGAAAACACATGCCTGACTGTGTATTAAAGCCTGTTTTGTCCATGTGAAGAAGTTGTGACTCCGTTGGATTTTATCAAGAGAGTTCGGAAAGAACAAAAGTTTAGATTGTTCTCCAACAGGTTTTAGTTTGACACAACTCATCCTTGTCTGTGTTACAATGTTGCCGTTGGAACCATAAGTGTTGGGACATGGACAATATTGGGACTTTGTTCTGAAAATTTTATATCCAAATTAGGTGGAATTACAGTTTGTAGATGTGTCTCCCACTTTTTAAGGGACCAAAAGTAATGGGACAAATTTACAACCATAAAACAAAGCCCATTACAGCCTGA